CGGAGCGCGTGCCGCGGGCTCCAGGCGCGTGGTCGCCGTCGGTCCTCCCCGGGGCGAGCGCCGTACTATGTAAAAAGCACTTACGTATATTCCCCCCCGCAGGTTCCCACCGAAGTTCTCGCATCCTAGAGGTATTTGTTGGGGCGCCCTGGAGGCCGGCAGCGGCCGCCTCCCCAGCTCCCCGACAGTTTGAGGCCTTCCCTTAGCTTCTGCTGTGCCATTCGGTGCTCACGACAGCCCGCTACATAGAAATGTAGCTGTAAGTGTCAAATATAACTGTTATGGAAGAATGTATACAGGGGCCTGTTCATACCGTTAAGCAACCGAACCTCGAGCTCAGTGAAGTTTGAAAACCCGACGGGCTTCGTTGGAGGCCTCGCGAGCCAGGCAGCAGGTAGGAAGGAGCTGGGAGGGTTTTTAAAAGCATAGAGGGGGTGGGACAGGGAAATCCAATTTTTTACCCATGGATTGTTTCAGGGAAGGCCACAGTCCTTCGGGGGACCATCAGAACCGGCCGGGAGGATTATTACCTTGATGCCGCCGGGAAACTCCACCCTGGCGGCTCAGATCACAGCCCTGGGGGGGCTGCAACTGGAATCAGGTTCAGTGTGAAGTCTTGGTTTGCAGGTGTGGGGCTGGCTTAGCACAGGTGACTCTACTTGGGGCCTGTTGTTTCTTTTTCTATTATTATTATTGAATTTATTGGAGCGACATTGGGTAAGTATATAGGCTTCAGGAGTGCAGTTCTATAGCACACCATCTACATGTTGTACTGTGCTCACCACCCCAAACCAGGTCTCCTTCCATCCCCGCTTATCCCGCCTTTACCGGCTCCTCTACCTCCCCCACCCCCTTCCCTCCGGTGATCACCATCCTGTTGTCTGTGTCTAGGAGGGTTTTTTCTGAATCCTCTCACCTTCCTCACCCAAACCTGCAAACCCCTCCCCTCTGTCTCTATGAGTCTGTTTCTGTTTCATTTGTTAGTTTATTTTGTTCCTTAGATTTCACACATGAGTGAAACCACACGGGACTTGTCTTTCTCTGCCTGGCTTATTTCACCTAGCGTAGCGCTCTCCAGGTCCACCCATGCTGTCACAAAAGTGTCCTCTTTTATGGCCAAGTAGTATTCCACGGTGTGAATGTCCCACAGCTTTTTTATCCATCCTCTGCTGACGGGCACGTGGGCTGATTCCATAGCTTGGCTATTGTAAATAATGTTGCAGTGAACATAGGGGTGAATATATTCTTTCAAATTAGTGTTTTGGGTTTCTTCTAATATATTCCCAGAAGTAGAATTGCTGGTCCATAAGGCAGTTTCATTTTTAATTTTTTGAGGAACCTCCACACGGCTTTCCATAGTGGACGAGTCTGCATCCCCACCGGCAGTGCACTAGGGCTCCCCTTTCCCCACACCCCCGCCAGCACTTGTTTGTAGATTTGTTGGTGGAGCCATTCTGACAGGTGTGAGGTGACACCTCATTGTGCTTTTAATTTGCGTCTCTGATGATGAATGACCTTGAGCATTTTTTCATATGTCTCTTGGCCATCTGCATGTCCTCTTTGGAGAAGTGTCTATTCAGGCCCTTTGCCCATTTTTTAATTGGATTGTTTGCTTTTTTTGGTGTTTTATAAGTTCTTTATAAATTTTGGCTGTTACCACCTTATCAAATATATCAGTGGTGAACACCTTCTCCCATTCAGTGGATTGTCTTTTCATTTTATTGATGGTTTCCTTTGCTGTGCAAAAACTCTAGTTTGTTGTAGTCCCACTTGTTTACTTTTTCCTTTTGTTTCCCTTGCCTAGGGAAGGCTAGAGTCAACCAGTGCTGTTGCATTGAAATTGGTTGCTGGTTTTAAACAGACACAGAGAAATACAGAAGCATAAATCGATGGTACGGAATCAGTACAGACATCTAGTTGTGGGCTTGGATTTGGCTGAGTGTCCATGATGTTCTCCATCTCTGTCCTCTGGGGGTGCCTACGCTGTCCCTGTAACAATTAGCACCCAGGGCCCAGACCATGGTTTCTAACTACCATTTTCCATTAAAACAACTAAAGGTTCCTTGAAGAAATGGCTAGCCCTATGGCTGGCCCAGGGACATCACAGCATGAATCGGGAATAAAAATGTGGGAGGAAGAAAGAAAGTGCTCAGAGCATAATGGGGACAGGTCAAGAGGACAGGAGTTGCTGAAGGGCTCCTGCTGCCAAGTAGGGGACAGTTTTAGGATCATAGTAAGTATTAACAGATACTAGCCCATTCAATGAAACAGGAAATTGTGAGCCTATGCTAGTATGAACAAATGAATGAATGAATGAAGATGGGAAACTTCGTTACAGTAGAACTGTAACAAATAAATGCGAAAGAATGAAGGAATTAGAGGAGCATCAGTTGGCAACCAAAATAATTGTTTGAGACAGTGATCATCAGTTGACGCTAAAGCTTGTTAGTGAAAGTGTGATGAGAGATGGCATTTTCACACACCTGGTATCTCCCCACAAGACTCATGACTCACACAGTAAGTTTACAGCTAAGAAACACAGTGCGCACCACCTGCAAAGAGTGACCATACTTCACCAGTCAGGGGACGAATGGATGTCCTGTGCCCGGTGATACGATGCACAGTGCGGCTCCCGGGATTCCTACTAATAACAAAGAACATGAATCTGGTTCTGAGCAAATCCAAACTGACGGGTATTCAACAAAATAACTGGCCTGGATGCTTCAAAAACGTCAAGGTCTTGAAAAACAGAAATGTGAGTGACTGTGTCAGGGACTAATGGAAACCAAGGAGATTGGCAACTAAAACGGTGTGTGATTGTGGATTGAATGATGGACCAGAAAAAAATTTTTTTCTATGAAGAATATTGAGACAATTGGTGAAATTTGAAAAGCCCTTAGATTGGATAACAGTATAGATGTTAATTCCCTGCTTTCGATCATTGTGCTGGATTATTTAAGAAAATGCCTCATTTTAGAAAAATGCACACTGAAGTGTTTTGGGGGTAAAGAACATCATGTCTGCAACATCTTCTCATATTTTAGGGAAACACATTCTTATAGGTAGAAAGGGTGATAAAACAGATGCGGCAAAATGTTAACATTTGGGGAGCCTGAGTGGAAATTGTGAAAAACCTTTATTATTTTATACTTTCTCTATAAGTCTTAAATTCTTTCAAAATAAAAAGGTGGAAAAGAGGTTTATGGCAGAAGAATAGCTGGCTAGACCGTGATTAGCCCCGATGGCCCTCACCTCTCAGGTAGGAGATGAACACTGGCGCCCAGTTAGTGGTGGCCTCACGTGCCCAGAGCAGTTCCTACAGGGGACCTGCTCTTGCTATGCACCTGGTGAGAGCAAGTGAGGGTTTAAGATTATGCAGCAAGAAATCGATGTCATCACTGAACACATCTCAGCCCGTCCAGAGAAAAGCAGTTTCTGCTCTACCAGCGATTTTCCACTGCAAGCTGCAGGGATTTTTAAAACATGAAATACTGAATTTAGTTAGGGCACTGACCTCTTTTCCTTTAGATTGTCAAATAGAAAAATGACAACAGCCAACACAACAATAGCCATCCAGTGTGAATGAATCAAAGTTATACCTATTTTTTTTTTTTTTTTGTCAGATCAGCAAAAAATATGTTTTTGGGTGTGCCACAGGATTTTAGTAATTAATTTATGTGCCATGAGATGGAAAAGGTTGAAAATCGCTGAGTTATACGATTTACAATCATTTCTGTTAAGGATGGAATGATTTTAGTTCAGAATTCTAATGTCTGGGAAAATACTATTAAATACTGTACTGAAAACAATCTAATTCCTTATGTAAACTGGAAAGATATTTACTCTGCCCAGAATAGAGTCTCCAGTGTAAAGGTATTTTGTTTCAAGTGCTGTTTCAAGAACAGTTTCAGAGCTGTAACAAAAAGCCTTGTTTTAATAAAAAGAATACAATTTTAAAAAGAAAGGAAAGGCTTGACCCAGCAACAGCATATCAAGAAAGACGCATCCCTGACACCAAAGATGATAAATTTAAATGATGTCATCTAGTCCAACACGTTTGCTTTACAGATGAGAGGAAGAAGGCTGCCAGCTCTAAATCACAGAGCCACTTAAACTAGAATCAGTCCTGGAATCAGCCTCTGGGTACCAGCGCCAGTTGCTCCGTGTTTTCCTTCTACATACTGTCCATAGGTATTTACTGAGCACTTTCTATGCACCGTGGGCCTGGTACGTTTCAATATATGGACCTCTTCTCATTTGCTTCAGCACCTCTTCTATCAGAAGGAGACTCTATCATCCAGGCTAAGGACTATCCAGCTCCTTATTAAGAGCAAGGTTAATTAGCCTGGCCGGTGTGGCTCAGCTGGCTGAGCATTACCCTGTGCAGCAAGAGGTTGCTGGTTCGATTCCCAGTCAGGGCTCATGCCTGGGTTGCGGGCTCCGTCCCCAATAGTGAGTGTGCAGGAGGCAGCCGATTGATGGTTCTCTCTCATTGATGTTTGTCTCTCTCTCCTTCCCCCTCTCTCTAAAATCAATAAAAACATATTTTAGAGTTATAGAAAGAACAAAGTTAATTAAAGTAATGAGTTGAAAGAAACTTGACCTTTGCACTAATACACTCCAGTTTTATTTTTTGTCATTGCATTTCTATTCAGGGTTTTTAAAATTTTTTATTAAATTTAATGGGGTGACATTGGTTAATAAAATTATATAGGTTTCAGTGTACAATTCTATAGCATCAGTATATTCAGGGTTTTTACTACAATCATTTAATATAAGGAAAGGACTTAGCAAAACCTACGATAACTTATCTGTGCTTTTGCATTTTTACTCTCTGCAGGGGAATAAAAGATGAAAGCCGTTTTCTCTGCCAACCCTCACCTGAAATAAAAGGGCTGTAGACTAGAAAGTCTCTCTATACACACTCGGGGCCCAAGGAGGGCGGAAAATGTTGACTTCAGTTCAGCAGGTGGCGGGCTTCTCAGAGGCTGCTTCCTGACAGCCTGACAGTCCGTGGACAGAACCCAGGACGTGCGGGTCTCTGAGAAGTCCTGGCAGACGTCAGATGAAAGGCCCCGGGCTTCAGAAGGACGCCCGGTGCCCCAGAGCCTGGAGCTCCCCTGGAACCCTCCATTCTCAACACCTCGGCATAAACACTTAGGGCAGGAGAGGGCCCGGGCTTCCTAGGAGGTCATAAATTTCAAAGGTGAGGCACAGATCACTGAGCTATGTTTTCCTTTATGGTGTTTCTACAAACCCGAAAGGAGACAGAGGAGAGAGACTTGAAAAGCCAATGTTACATCTACTGAAAACTTTTATCATCTCCCGCTGAAACCAGTACTCTGTAATTATTCTTAGTAGAAGCAAATGTGGCACTTTTCCTAAATAATGATATAACAAAATACATTTTCGAACTTAAAATTTTTTAAAATAAAGTTTTAACAGACTATTACTTGGTGATATAGAACAAGAGGCCTGCACTCACAAACATGAAAAGCATTTAAAAATCCGTGAGTATATGAACTGAGGATGGGCAAATACAAAGGGGAGGGAAAGCGGAGGGCGTGAAAAACCGAAGAACGAAGCATTTGTGGGACCAGTGATGGATTATTTTAGTTTGTATCTTGTGTTGACATAAGAAACATTCAAACCTGTAGAGAATTTTTCGTGAATTTATTTGAACCAAACCGTCGACAATTGCAGAGAAGCAAAATCTCAACAGACTGAGAAAATACTCTAGAGTGTCAGTTTTGCGTCTTATTTTATACGTTAGAATCAGAAGAGAAGACCTAAGTGGGTTCCATGAAATACTCGGTGATGGATGAGGGAGGCAGGAGAAGGCAAAGGAGGGGCGTCGGGGATGCGGAGTTGG